TAAATAGCTTCGCCAGTGGGCGTTAACAATAACATTGAGGGTGCAAGGCGACCCTGTCAGTCAGGTCAATACCCCATTTCAGGTACAGACAAAATAAGTGAATTTAAATTTGGAAATTACAGTAATATAGCGAACGTGACTTTACAAAGGAAGAAATGTTACAATAAGATAGTAGAATACATTATAAAATTTATGGTTCAAAAATACTGAGATTACTGTTTGCATTTGATAAATAATATATACCTGAAAATTGTAGCTAAATAATAAAATGAATAATAGAATTGAATTTGTATACAAATAGAAAATAATACTTAAAATTTCTGACAATAGTAAAATTAGTATGTAAAATAAAATAAAATCTATAGTATTGTTAAGATGCAACAGTGTTATTTGTGAAAATTACATCATTTTATTGATCTATTATTATCACTCTATCACTCTTAGATGATTATGGGAAAATACGATACTAGAAACTTTGATCTTGACTTAAAAAAACCGCTCCAACATGATTAATAGTGAATAAGTACTATATGAATTGCTATATATTCTATATATAAAACTTATTTTTATATGCATTTTAATTATTGCACTATCGCGACTTTGTTTTGTTTTTGTATAGCCGGTAGCCGGTTATAATTTAGGTATTTTTATACGATAATTGATGCATTTAATTTTTAAACTAATATATTGTTTAATACAGAACATTAAAAATAAATGAGTAACAGTATTCATTTATTTTTTAGAACGTAATCAAATAAATAAATAATTATAGCAAATATTAGCAAAAAATAAAATAACATTCAACGAACCGAAAAAGAATACATTAAAAGTGACCATTCGGATGTTGAATAGTTTCTAGCTTTGCTAAAATGTATAAATTCTGTGTAATCATATGTAAAGCCGCCCTTCCAGGCGTAAAGATTTTGCTTTGCCCACGAATTGTCTAATATGTTGCCATTTTTTTCGGTCATTTTTATAGCCTTTTTAATGTAGAATTCGACGGCGGCGGTAACTCTGCATCTGTTTCGTATCAGTAAATAATAAGCTTTCAAAATACAATAGCGAGGTTCGTACAATTTCCAGTGCTTGATGACATTAGTACACTCTCGAAAATGTACATCTACATTTTGAAACTCCAACTCTATATGTCTCTTCTTTTTCTGTACGTTTTTCGCTAAATTTATCAACAGAACTTGTAAATAAAGAAACATGCTGGTGATAATTGAATCCGTCACATGACTTTTTTCATCGAAACGTATAAGATACCGCCATTTCAGAGCCTTCGACCAGTTCTCTTTCCTGACAAAGTACAGATGGAGGTAGTTTATAAACTTTAGTTCCGATGCGGTAAACACGATCCTGCCCTGTATGGAGCCAAAGTACGAATCCGCGAATTGCTCACACTTTTCAATCGATTCGCAAACGAACCCTGCTTCCACAATTAACTCAACGCAAAACGAATAATAATGGATGGCCCCGGAATCGTTGAACTTGACGCTGTCTTGCAGAAACATCTGTGATATCCCAACCGCTTCGGTTATACGAAAATTTTTTAGTAACGCCGACGACAACGACGGTATTATCTGCTCTTGCAATAAATAAGCTTGTGTGATCGTATTTAAAAACGCCGAGCGAAATCCCAGTCTTATCCCTTTTATCAGTTCGCCTCGCGTGTAGTACATCCTGAAAAATATACTGACAAGCCTGCACAAAGCTATGTCCTCAACTATAACCGATCCAGCCGAATAATTGGACAATATCTCCTTGCATATGTACCGCTCCAATTGTTCGCAGGTGTGTTTGTCTCCGAAGTGATTGTACAAATCAAGGGCGTTTGCGAACACGTCGCAGATAATGGCGAGATTTGTATTTGCGTTTCGAAGGATATGAATGCTCCTTAATGCGATCTTCGAGGCCTTGTCCAGCTTTCCTTCTTTGAACATGATCACCGAAAGAACGTTCAAACAGTATCCCAAATCTACCCTCTGCATGTGTTGCGATCTTGTCATATACTGGACTCTGTTGGGAAGAGGTGCTGGCAAAAATGTTCTTTGTAACAAACAGTTAAGGAATCTCGACGTTAACGCTGACATCGGGACGTCGTATTGCCTTAAAGCGATTAGAATGTGAGACTTTGCAGTTATATGATCGTCCAGCATCAGATACGCACTTGCTAAAAGTACTTGCGTCTTGCCGGCAAATATTTTTCTAAACGATTCGGTTATCAACGAGTTCACGCTGGACGCGTCGACCATGCACAACTCGCAAGCCTCTTCTAACGGCGAAATGCTGTCTTTCGGTTCTTGAAGTGTAATCAGTAGTAATCCGTACTGAATCAGGAAAAATATTCTCTTACCTAAATGGCCTGCTCTATCGCTGTGGTGTATTAAGTCGTAAAAAACCCTGGACAAAATCTCTAGACAAAAACAAACGGTGGGATCCCATTTCTTCCTTTTAGGTACCTCCAGCTCCTCAACATCAGAAAGACTCTTTCCATCGTCAAGACTGATTATTTTCTTACGTATTGCATATCGGATTATATCCTCGATATCGTTGGGTCTGTAATTCCGTGCCCACGAAGAATACCTTCCTTTTGGTCGATAAAGAGCGTTGGGCTGACTGCAGTGATACATAACCTCCTTGAACTTACGAAAATAAATTACGGTGGAAGAATCGTCGCGTAAGCAAGAAGGACAGGAGTTGTTCTGGTTTTCTAAAATGTCCGTTACACGCAAATGCAACTCTTTCCTCTGATTATTCGGAAGTAATTCGTAGGCAACGTTTCGGAGCATTTTGTTTTTAAAATGCAAGTTTTTGCAGAAAATATATTTTCTGTTTTTACCCAAGTTTTCGTCTTGCATTTCGGTTTCTTCAAAATAACAAAGACAAATACGACTCTTTATGTAAGATCCTTGGCTGGTTATGTATTTGGTACCGCAGTCGAAAACTTCTTCTTCGAACAGTTTCTTAATAGCATGTTCAAATAACCTCTCGTTTGGATATCTGAGCATAATTATTAATAAAGAACGGGTAAAAGTGACTCCTAAGACAGAAGCAGTCTTAATAACTAGTTGTTCGAAAGGAGAAAAATAATCGAACAGATCCAACGATATAGCAGCAAGTGTAAGATCTGTACTATCCTCGTTGAACGTTTCCATTAAATCAGCGACTGCGAATGATGTTACATGGTGGTCTTTCATTTCATTTGCATCCTCGTCTGATTTGATGTAAGTTAAATCCGAATTCGGAAATATAAACTGATAAAAGTCTAGATCGGTGGCTCTCAAAATTCTCAGGACAATTCCTCCATTATTAACGAGCCTGAGGAGACAGGTCTGTATCCAACCGGGTTTATTTTCGCAAGTTTTAATCAATAATTTGATCAATTTCATTTTAACTCCCGTTACTCGAAGCATTTGGCATGCAAGTGCCGGAACGTATTTACTTTCCAAAGGCTCGAGTTCCGTTATTCTGATCTTGTCGTTCCTTGAAAATCGCCAACGAAAATCCCAGTCGTTTTCTTCAAACGACGCAGTGCAAATTAATCGTGCACATCCGTCCGTAAGTGCATCTTCAATTATCTCCAAACTTTTTATATCGATATTTTGAATTTCGTCTATAAATAAAACTGTTACATTAGATGGGTTTCTCTTTAGAATTTGCAAAAACAACTTGCTAATCGTAGCTTTACGATTTCTATCATATGGCAAATGAGAATCTAACTTTGCCTGTAGTATTTCGTTCATATTCCACAGGTCTCTGGGTAAATTTTGCACCAAATCCACCTCCTTCGAACCTATTCTTGTCTTCTCATCGTATATTTGTTTATACAACATCGAAGAAGTGAAGTACGGCCTCAGTTTATTTGCAGTCAATCGTAGAAATGTCGCACAATGCCCATCCTTTTTGGCTTCCAAGTACGCTTGTTCTAGAAATGCACTTTTACCAATTTTTGGTGTTCCCTGAAAGCAAATGCCGAAATATCCAAATATCTCTTCTGGATGATTTATCACCATATGGACAGCGGCAAGGTCGTCTTCTCGACCTAGGAAGGGAAGATCTCCTTTAAAATCATTGATCTTAGTTTCGAACAGTTCGTTATATTCAAAGATATTTCCCGAATCTTCAATACCTTTGAGTTTCTGTGGCGATTGCAATTTGAAATAAAACGAAGACAACTTCGATGTTTGATAAGTGTTAAGGTCGCAAGTCACTTTGCCAGGATATGTGCACATTATCCTTGCCGCTTTATTAACAGTCGCTCCTATTACTGTGTATTCTCTTCGAAATGGGTGACCTACAACACCACAATATACAGAGCCATTCGTAATCCCCACCGAAACACTTTTTACATTTTCCAATTTGGAAATCTCTTGCAATATTCTAAACCCTGACCTTAAAGCGTCTTGGCTCTCCTGTTCGTGTTTTATCCCTTTTAATCCGAACAGAACCAATATCATGGCATCTTTATCGAAAAGGGAAATCTTATTCACGATCCCAAGCAATTCACTTATAATTCCACTAACTATTTTAAAGGCGGCATCAACCATCGAAATGACAGACTTGTTGAGGTACGATACGGGTATAATATTGATGAATTGAATAGTTATTTCTCTCATTTCTGTCAAATATTCAACGGGTTGGTTTTCTTGTACTTGTTCCTGCACCAGTTTTATAACAAAAGGTAACAGATTGGCAGTGGACCATTTACCAGGTGCTTCCAGCGTGCATTTTCTTTCAGGTAATGTACTAATAAACGCTTGAGTTACTTTACTATCGATAAATGTTTGGTCGAACTTTTTCTCGTGGTACAGATGCTGACGATGATTTAAATGTTTCTCGCAAATTTTCGTTATAGTTACTTCTTTCTCGTCGTATTTCTGCTTACGCAATCTATCTTTCACTCTGTATATGCACCTTAACACCTAAAAAAATAACGTTTGAAGTTTATAAAGAGTTCAAAAGATTTGTGTTATCCACGAAGTACCCCTAGTAAAAATTCGTAAAATGTGAAGCTCAGTATCAAGTTTTGTTAAGTAGTCAACAACACCAAAACGTGTAATTGTAAACGAAAGCATCCCAATCAAAGAAATAAAAAACAGGCTCTCATACAATTCTTTGACATTGTAGGTATAAGTAAATATATTAAGCCAATAGGGTTGTTCGGAAAGTCATTTCGTTTTTTCCCGACAGAGGATTTCGTTGTATTCTTTTGCACCCAACTTCACATTTAGGCCGTATAATTTTTATATGCTTTGAGAGCTCATATAGCAAGGCTTGAGTGTGAAAAATTCCAATTAATTCTACGCAGTAGTTTTTGGTTGGTGCCCTTTTAAATATGGAGAGCGATAAGNCTGTCTTCGAGAACTGATTCAACTCTCCCCCGCAAGACTGACCGTAATGTTTTTGAGACCCTCGGTCAAGTATACCCTCTCTGTCTCTCTTTACCCCAACGTTGCACGTGTCAATTTTTGTCACTTTCTCACGGTACCTTCAGTCAGCTAATAAAACCGTACGGTTGGAGAGGACGCAGTAGTTTTCTTAAAGTTTATTGCTTAAAAATATTTTGCTTCTTATTCTAAACATACGGATAACAATTACTTAATCCCTTAAAATTACAAACTATTCCTAAATTACTTTAAGCCTACCATAAACTAAAAAGCACGCATTCCCGATACTACATACATTTCCGATTGCTATTTAGGAAATGCATAGATTTCCTAGAAAATGTGTCTAATATAATATATTTCACACATTTCCGGGCGATTTTTGGAATTATATAGATTAGCTAGGAATTGTATACATTGACGTATTTCATACATTTCCGAATATAACAACAGATATATGTATAGAAAAATACATTGCGAATATGTATTTATATTACTTAAAGAAAATCAAATATTTAGTACATCAAATAAACACTAAAACACTGGCAAAATCGGAGGTAGGGAGAAAAAAGGTCATTATACTCTCGACTCTTGTACATTAAACATACTTTTTCATACAGTACCTGCCAAAAGTTTTGTTCAATCATGAATAGTAGTGCGAGTCGAAAACAAGCGTTAAAG